AGCAGGTGCTGTCGGAGGAGAAGGGCGCCCTGGAGGCAGAGGAGCTGGCGGCGGTGGAGGAGGAGGGTGGTGGCGGCGGCGGCCAGATAGAGGAGCGGTGTCTCGGTTTCTAAGACCATTGGAAATATGTGTTTTCCGATGGTCTTAGGCGACCCCTGTGAAAGCGTCGTTCGACCCTCAAAAGGGTCGCAATCCACAGGTTGAGAACCGCTGTGCTAGAGTCTAGCCATGTCTTCATTGGACAAGGCTCCACTCAAGCATCATCCCTTTAGCAGAAGAGGTAAGCTACCTTTCTCAGCACTCACTGTGCCCTTGGCCACAACAAAAGAATACAATGACCCATAAAGAAGAAACAGGTCCAATTCTTAATATAGCAAAATTTAACCACAAAACTGTACATAAACGCCACAGGGACAAGTGAATGATTGGTGAAATAGATGCCCGTAGATGGCATAAGAATGGCTTTGAAGGATCAGAGGAGGAGCATGGCTTACCATGGCCGTAGTCAGATGAGAGAGGCTTGAGCCAAACCAAGAAGATAATCTGAAAAAGTTCTCGGACAAGCCCATCCCTGGTTCACATGAAGATGAAGACTTGCAAGACTGAGGTTATCTCAGCAAGATAGACCAGTCTAAGTAATCAATGCCAGAGAGATCAGGACTATTTTTATTGTAATATCCACAGTAACAGAATCTTACAAGTTTAAATGTGCTTTTCCTCCACCACTTTATCTTCATGTCAACCAGTAAAGGGTTTGTCTGAGACATTTTCTCACATTGCTTTCTTGGCCCAGGCTCTAGCTCTGCTTATCCTACAGTTGCATTGGTCCCTGTCCCTCAAGGCCTCTTCCTTTGCCTTCTATGATGCCAGTGAATACAAAGGGAGGGAGGGAAGGGAGAGAGGAAGGAGAGAGGGAAGGAGGGAAGGAGGAGCAAAAGGAAGGGAGGGAGGGAGGGAGGGAGGGAGGAAGCAAGGAAGGGAGAGGGATGGAGGGAGGCAACAAGTCTGTTGAAGCAAAAGTAACAACTAGCCAATTCAATTCTACCTGGGGGGGGGGCTGTGAATGGGATCAAAATGAGATCCTTCTTAAGCCTCATTTTGCCCCCATCTCAAAAGCCTCTTTACAATGTTGTGGCGTTAAGTTCTTTTTTGAAGCAATTGGGATGGGATACAAAAGCAATAAATACACAAAGTCCATCCGGCTTCCTTTATCCTCGTGCTGCCTCCTGGCAGCTGCATCATTTCCCCTGCTGCTCCTCATCAACCGAACAAAACAATGCTCCCTCATGGCTGCCATAAGGCCTCTCTCCCTTCCCTGTCATAGGGCTGCTCTCGGCTCCGAGGTCAGACCTGCTCAGAATGCCCAGGCCAGAGAACTTCCCCCAGCTCTGCTGAAAGCTGGAAGGAGACAGGAAAAGGCTCAGCTTCAGAGCCAGGAACTGTCCCAGGGCCTCTGGTGGAGCCAAACAATCGAGGGAGGGAGAAAACTTTGGGGCAAGTACACACATTCCTGGAAATGCATTACACTTTTGCTGTCAACATTCAAAGTCCCCACTGCCAAAAGAGGAGCTGATGGAGAAAGTCCAGCTAACTATTTAGAGGATAAATACTGAGAAAATTATGACTGATAAGAATTGTTTGAATATTACGGAGAAACTAAGCTTAAACAAGAATTATGAAAATAAGATATATGGTGAACTAATAAGATGATTTTTATAAAAATAACACGTTGATAAGAAAAAAATGTCATATATGGACACTATTATCATGCGTACAAAAATGGAAAATAATGTTCATATTCAATCATTTATGCACTGAAAATATTAACAATTATATTTGTTTAAGACTGAAGAAGGAGAATACTATTGGGAGAAAAGAAGATCAAAGAAATATACTACTAATCAATATACTAATTATGAAAGTATAAAAATTAATTATTATTGACAATTAATTACTATTGATTGTTGTTGTTTTCAAAGTTTATGAACCAAGACAACACACTGTACACTAGGCACTAAGGATTGTTATTATAAAAAATCAATAAAACATTTCTAAAAACAAAAGAGAAAGTCCAGCTAACTCAAACGAGAGTTAGCTACCAATGGGAAACTGGGCAATTTTAGCATGGGATGCCTGGGTTTTGTCGGGAGCACCAGATCACAAACCCTGTTGCAATATCAAGGATGAGGTTTATGCATGTGGTTTAACAGGGCACAGAGACAGCCCTAATCACAATTGACTCAAAAGTGGCTCACAATCACTCTCTTCCATAAATCTACTTTTAAAAAAGAAATCAACTAATCAAAAGCATAAAAACACTACGTAAGAGTCTGGAAAGAGTTGCAATCCACGACCAAAAGAATTAAATCTGGGGTGTAACCTTCTGTTGGCCCAAAGATGGTATTTAGTTAGAAGTGTAGGAGTCACAGTCTCCAAAGCAGATGGGGTCAAAAGCGAAACTAAACTGGATTGAATTTCAATGTGACTGAAATGACAAAAAATGAAATTGGGTTCATAGGATCATTCTCCACCCCAACCTCCCAATTCTTCTGTTAAATATAATTGGGTACCAATTGGGTATCTCTAAAGATTTCTGAGTATACCAAACACTTTCAAGAACAGAAGATGGTTTGGGAATTGAGATCATTTCTGTTTTAAAGTCCACAGTTGTCAGCCATCTGAGGTAGGCCAGGTCAAGAAAATAATTCCACAAAAGGACCAAAACTACATTTTATTGACATAGGCTGTAATAAGAGACACATTATGCTGTAGTAAGAAAGATAGAAGAAAAGAACATGACCAGCACTGAGGTGGTTGGACTCAATTACATTTGTGATGGGTGCCCTGTTAGAAGACTTAAAAGACTAGGTTGGGGACAGATCACATGGAGAAAATCTATCTAGGAGCTGACAATAGCTTGATGGCATATAATCAATCAATAGTAACTTAATTGTAAAGTCTGATTGTAATTTACTTTTTCTTCCTCATATTCCTCATTAAGTCAGGAAGAAGCCAGCTTGAGCCTCTTCTTAATAGTACGTCCTTTCTTAAAGCTTAAGAAATACTTCTGCCCTTCTTTCTGTACAGGTATTCCTCAACTTACAACAATTTGTTTAGTGAACGTTTAAAATTACAACGGCACTAAAAAAAGGGACTTATGACCATTTTTCACATTTACGACTGTTGCAGCCTCACCATGCTCATATAAGCAAAATAGACGCTTGGCAACTGGCTCATGTTTATGACATTTGCAGTGTCCCTGGGTCACGTGATCATCTTTTGTGCCATAGTGGCAATGCTGTGGTTAGGATGCAGTATTGCAGGCTAACTCACTCCTCACTCCAGGAGTTTCATTCTGAGCGGCTCAAGGTTGACTCATCCTTCCATCCTACCGAGATCTGTAAAATGAGAACCCAGATTGTTGGGGGCAATAGGCTAACTTTGTAAACCCCTTAGAAGGGCTGTAAAGCATTGTGAAGCAATATGTAATTGTTGGGTTTGGGAAGAGTTTGCAATAAAGTCCAATTTGTTTTTTCCCCTAATAATCTCACACACCAGCTAGCAAATGGTTATACTGCATGTGACAAATTGATCTCCGAAGGGAGAGAATGGAATGTGCAAAGATATCCAAGTGGGGATTGGTGCAAATGTCTTGCCAGAGATTCCAAACTCATGTTTGTTAAAAAGAAGTCTCCAATGGAAATATTTACAGATGTACATATGCTGCTTCAGTGGATGGTTTTAATGCAATGTCCTAGATAAGAACGTTATGGAAAATCTAACTTTCTAAAGATGGTCTGCTTGGAAAATTAGTTATAGAGAAGGAAAAAGGAGATGCATGTATCAATCCATTCAAGTTTCCTTCCTGCTGAGAAATAGCACCCCCAATATTTACAGGGTTTCATAGAAGATGTTTAATGGATTTCAAATTGGATGAACCTACAAAGGTCTTGAAAGTGGAGGGGAGAAGCTGAAAAAGAAAAGAAGGAAGGAAACAAAATAATATTGGAAATGTCTGCCTAGAACTGTTTTCCAGAGAATCACCAAACAGCCTTTCGCAGGAATTGAAAGTGATGGAAGTGATGAGAATGGAACAGAACTAAATATAGGACAAACCAGGGGAAGAAATTCACCAGGCCAAGGAAGTAGTGAAGGAACAGAGATCTAAGAAAGTCAAAGTGCTCCAGAAGACAAGATCTTTTTGTGCTGGGTCTAAATGACACACTTCAGATTCTCTCAAGAGTTGATATACTGTACCTCTCTTCCCCTCGACTTCCAGTAGAATAATCAAAGAACCCAACTATGGAAGTTCATGTTGACAGTCTGTGGAAGAATGCAGGAAGGAAGGCAACCAGACAAACAAGTCTGTAGCAAAGAAGTACAATCTTTCTATAGCCATTTATAGAGATATATAACTTGAAGCCCATGAAGCTTTTCAGAGATCTTTGAAAATTGCTGCCAAGTTATAACTTCTAAGATAGTAGAAAGTGGAAACCATTACATTTGGTTCTGGAGTCCTGTTCACTCTGGTTCATTTTAAACCACTCAAATATAGTGAAAACAAATTTATTTTTTTTGGCTAGTTTCAACCATGGCTGACTGGGGAATTCTGGGAGTTGAAATCCACAAGTTTTTAAATTGTCAAGTTTGAAGATCCCTTCTTTAGCTATGGCTTCTGGTATGCCATTCGTAAGCTGAGTATGGCCTTAGACTAAGAGTATAAACATTGGGCACTCTTCGCTCTTATAATGCTGCAGTGTAAGAAAAAAAATCAATTTATATGAAACTGATTTTATTTTAGAAGTCAGTCCTGGTACAGAGAGGGCTGTTCAGACTACTGTTCCTGGAAGTGATCCATGGGAGATGGAGTGCATGGAAAGGGGAGGGAATTCTTGGACGTACAAATTCATCCTTGACAATGATGTCTACATTTTCTCTTCCATGGGAAAGTATAATTAGAATCAATTATCTTTAGGAATGAAGTCAAGGAATGTCCTTACCAAAGCTGGAACCATCTGAGGGAGATGAAAGCAACAAGAAGCCATATTTGCATTGTTCGGAGGCTTCGATGTCCATGTCTCCAAATGCCAGGCTGAGGGGGCTGCCTGCTGCTCCGTGAATTTGCCACTTGCAAGAAGTCGAGTTTGGATACGTGCCTGGAAAGTTCTTGGAAGACAATGTCCCACTGTAAGATGTGAGCACTGAATGACCACAACCGTCCCCTGGAAGGCAAGGAGAGAAATCATTTCATAATCGGTAGGATGGCCTGGGTAGAACATCACAATATGACCAATTGTATTTTGCTTGTTTTTTTCCTTAGCACACAGGGGCATGGTCATTCATTAAGGCCACAGTTTAATAACCAGAGGCAGAAAAAGTTTTGGTGGATTAATGTGTGGCCAGTGATGTGACATCATTAAGGTCACTAGAGAGTAATAATAATCATAATATGATAGCAATAAGAATAATAATATTCTATTGGTTTGCATGTAAAGAGAGCTTCTGAACTGGAGACAAATCACACTTAGCCAAATTGTTCTGTTCTGTTCTGTTCTATTCTTATTCTTATTCTATCTGGTTCATTCAACAGGGAGATAGTGCCACATTAACCAACATAACCTAGCCAATATATTTTTCAACAGGATGTGGGAAAGACGAAACAGGACAGATGTTGCAGTAATGGAGGAAATACTTCTCTCTCGAGTTAAAAACCTCAAAGTTGTTTTTATGAATACAGTTCCTTTCAGGCCACCACTCTTGTTATTTCTACACATGAATGTAATCATGAGGTGATCGGTCATTTATTTGCTGCAGTTCCCAGAAGGGGTGCAAAATCTTCCTGATTGGATCTACAAGAAAGATGAGAAATAAACATTTTCTCCAGGAAGGAATTTATTTAGATTGATAGTATCTATAAACTTATGTTTAGGTCAAGTCTTTTTCAAGCTTGGCAACTTTAAAATGTGTGGACGTCAACTCCCAGAATTCTAGGAGCATGCTAGCATATTTGGTCATGTAGTCCCCAAAAGTCAGACTGTATCAGATTGGGGTAGGCTGAAAAAGCCTTTAAAGCAGGGGCCCTACCCCAGTCCATGGACCAGTACTGCCAGAAACCGGTCCATGCAAACAAGCAAAGCCCAATCCATGGAATGCAGGTAGCACATGAAACCACGCTCTGTCTGGTCTGTGGAAAAAAAACCCTCCGCGGAATTAAGAACAATTAATCAGTGGAGCAGCTTGTCTCCTAAAGTTGTGGGTGCTCCATCACTGGAGGTTTTCAAAAATAGATTGGACAATCACTTGACCCAGATGGTATGAGGTCTCCTGCCTTGAGCAGTGGGTCAGACTAGAAGAGCTCCGAGGTCCCTTCTAGTCCTACGATTCTATGTTTTTGTGACTGTTGCAGCATCCTCGTGGTCATGTGATCGAACTTTGAGTGCTTGACAACTGGAATGTATTTACGATGGTTGCAGCATCCTGGGGTCTTGTGATCCCCATTTGCAACCTTCCCAGCCAGCTTCCAATCAGCAAAGTCAGTGCGGGAAGCCGGATTCATTTGATGACTGCATGATTCATCTGCCAACTGTAGTGCTTTGCTTAACTTTGGCAAAAACGGTTGTAAAACTGGGTATGACTTAAAAACAGCCTTGTTTAGTAATGGAAATTCTGTTCTCAGTTGTGGTCGTAAGTCAAGGACTACCTATAAACCTGGAAAATTATTTCCATGGTTATTTGAGCTGTTATTCACGCAACCCTTTGGATGATAAATAATTTCACATCAGGATCCTATTTAGATTTTGTTTTCACAGGCAAATGTGCTGCCATGGAACAGTGACCTTCTGCAAAACAATCAGCTGCATTTCTCCCAGGGTTGCAAGTCTTTTAATTAAAGAAATCTTAGCTGACAGTGGCCATTTTATAATTAATCAGAAACAAAATAGCAAAGAGTTATTTGCCACAGCCCAGAAGAGACAATTGTGACTGCTGAGGAAGAGAAACTTTTCTTGAGTCAATTCAGTTTTGAAAAAAAGACTTACGATCGATCTACTTTCAGTGATTGCTCTTTCCCTAAAATATTAGCTTTCTTCCAGCATTAACCACTAATTTAACAACTCAGCTCCTTCAGCTGTGCTGTCAAAAAGTGACTGGTTTGTGACTTGGCATGTTGCCAGAGCCACTGTGGTTTGCAGACAATGGCTCGCGAGTTCAGCCTACAGTATGGCACAACCCAGACATTGATTCAAGAGGCAATAGCGAAGCTGCTTCTTTACAAACATGCAAGCTAGATCTAAGTGTAGAAAGGACCCTTGTTTTTCTCTGAAGAGAGCCCTGCTGATTTGGAAGACACCTTCTACAAGTACTCCCCGACTTGCAACAGTTCATTTAGTGACAGTTCAAACTTACAATGGCACTGAAAAAAATGACATGACCATTTTTCACACTTACATCTATTGCACATCCCCACAGTCATGTAATCAAAATTCAGACACTTGTCAATTGACTCATATTTATGATGGTTGCAGTGTGTGTGTGTGGGGGGGTGTCAAGTGAGTTTTGCCCCATTTTACGACCCTTTCTTGCCACCGTTGTTAAGTGAATCCCTGCAGTTGTTAGTAACATGGTTGTTAAGTGGGGCAAAACTCACTTAGCAAATGTCTCACTTAGCCACAGAAATTTTGCGCTCAGTTGTGGTCGTAATTCGAGGACTACCTCTATTAAATCCCCCATTCTTCTTAAGCATTTTCTTCCTTATCTTGATGCTTTCCAGAGGCGCTGGGCCTCGTGCTTGTCGTGCAGCGCCTCTGAAAAGCAAAGCTGGAAGAGAAGGTTGCGCAAAGCGTTTTTCTTCCAAACTGTCGCGCTCCTTTCTCCAGCCTCCTTTCCTCGTTCAACGTCCATTCTAGCTCCCAGCCACTCCGCTTGCCCAGCCAGCCGATTCCCGCTGCTGCGGCCGCGACTTACCCGTCTGATTGCTGGCCGTCGAGAGGTCCAGGGGCCACCACAGCAGCTGGAGCAGCCGGAGCGCACCGCGGAGCCCCCGACGCATCGTCGGTCGGCGCCTCGGCAGGATCCGCCCGCTCGATCGCCTCCACCGGCCGAACAGCGCCCGTCTGCAGCTGGCGGCGGCCGGAGCGCGCGCGCTTCGACCCCCGCCTCGCGCGATTGGCTGAAGGGGCCAAGCCTCCCGTCGGTCATTGGCCCCGCCCGAGCCAGTAACTTTTCCAAGACGGGTCTCTCTGCCCCGTCGAGGAAGAGCGGACGATCGCCCAGCCCGCCAGCTGTCCAAAAATCGAGGCAATGAGCCCCTATTGGGGGGGGGGGGGAACCACGACGAAACGATGTTAGAACGGGGGAAAGGGGTGGATCGGGAGTTATCGAAATCCTAGTTCCAAGTGGAAGCACAAAGAGATCGGGGTAAATAAGGTATTGTAGGATCCTTCTGCCTTCTCTTAACACACCTTATAAATCACGCCTAGAAATCATGGGCGCCCCATCCCTGGAGATCTTTAAGAAAAGACTAGACAATCAGTTGTTTGAAATGGTGTAGGTTCTCCTGCTTAAGGGGGCAGTGGGCTGGACTAGAAGACCACCAAGGTCCCTTCCAGCTCTATTCTATAAAATAATAATAATAATAAATGGCTTCTTGACCGTAAGTTGGGTGTCAAGCCCTGAAAAAGAAAAGGCAGCTGGTTTTGCTCACAATATAGCAAAGATGGTTTAAAGCAGAGGCGTTCAACCTTGGCAACTAATTTCATCAAAGGCATCAGATTTTTTTTATAGTTTGTATTCTTTGTTGTGTATTCAATGCAGTTGACTTGTTTTAACTACTCTTGGTTTTATGGTAGGTAATAGATTATAGTGCTTTTGTTTTACTTTTCTAAACATTTCATGTTTTTATAGGCATGTTTCATCTATTACATAAACCAATCTGAGTTTTTTTAACTAACATTCACTCCATTTATTTTGTTCTCCACTTGGAATTTAACCAACTTCTCCAGGTAAACCTCTGCATGTAGTAGTGTATTCAGTCATTACCACCAACATCTTTGGCTGATTATTATTATCAGCCCTTTAATTATTAGGCTGAATCAGCCAAAGGAAGGCAGTTTGTGTGAAACACTCTCTTTAGTGTTGATGAAGAACATAGAACTAAACTAAGGTTGGACAGTTTGGTGTAGGGGTTAAGGTGCTGGCCTAGAAACCAGAAGACACCGAGTTCTAGTCCCACCTTAGCATGAGAGCTGGATGGATGACTTTTAGTCCAACCCACCTCTCCTGGTGGTTGTTGTGGAGACAAACAAGAGGAGAGAACACTACAAAATCTGCTTTGAGCTCCTGTGCAAAAAGACAGGATGTAATTCTAATAAATAAAGTGTTTATTTCTTTGGAAATGTGTTCATTCTGCTGTACCTCTAATATTGATACAATTACAAAATCAGACATCAAGACCAAGTGAAAATGAATTAATAAATTTTTAAAAATGATAAGAGATTTGAGGCACAGCACTGAGCCAAGAACAAACATATCTGAGCTATTAGGGTTCAGAAACCAGGGTTTAAAGATTTAGCATTTTAAATGAAAGCAGTCATTCTAGTGTATTAAACTATGGTTTAGAGTTACATAAATTTGGCTTTAGGTGTACCCTTGATGAATTTACTATGCTATGAGGGATTGACAATATACCAAACAATCCTGAGCCTTTTTATTTTTTTCCAAGACCCCAGGTTGGTAATTAATTTGGGGGTTTATGGGGAAAATAATTTTATTGGGAGTTTGCATTCTGACATCTGTCCAATGTCAGCTCTGCTTTGATCCAATGTGACAGTGGAGAGGTCACCTTCATTGCAAAATTGAGATGAGAAACTACCAGATTGTGCCAAAACATTATTGATAGTTTATTGATTAGATATTATCTGGGGCCTTTTGATTTCTCCACTGCTAGGTTCCTGCATCATTCTAAACTTTGACTTACTTAATTGCCATTTGCTAAATAAACTCCAGTTGGGTTATTTAAACCTAAGGATGGTTTTGGGTGAAGTCAAAACCATATTATGCCCCCTGTGAACTGGATCAATACCTCTTAGGGGATTATAGCTATAAAAACATGGGTGTAAAAGCAAATTGCAGACCGTGAGGTATCTTGTTACTGGAGAGACTTAATAACAGCAAACCTTTTGCTTTGTGCCTTAAGCCTTTCCAATGTTTGTTAACTTCAGACCCTTTAAGATGTGTGGACTTCAACTGCCAGAATCTCCAAGCCCAACTAGGGAATTCTGAGTTAAAATCCACACATCTTAAGGAGGTTGAGAAAGAATCAGGAGGCCACTGGCACCATCAGCTGGGCATAACATTCATTTGCTGCAAGTCACACAAGGGGCTCCTGTCTCCTTCCAGATCTGGCAGGAATTTCCATCAAACACATGAAATGCAGAGTGATGGGATTAGGGCTGCTGTCTTTGGGATGTAAATATCCAGAGCAGTGGATGACAGTCAAGGTAAATTCTCTGTTACTCTAGCAGCTCTCTGGATTCTGGTACTTTAGAAGTGATAAGTGTGAAATTCCCAGAAAGTAAATATTTGCAGCAGGAAAACCGTTACAGGCAGTCCCCGACTTACAAACATAATTGAGCCCAAAATTTCTGTTACTGAGACATTTGCTAAGTGAGTTTTGTTCCATTTTACTACCTTTCTTACCACAGTAGTTAAGTGAATCACTGCACTTTTTAAATTAGTGACACAGTTGCTAAGTGAATCTGGCTTCCTCATTGATTTTGCTTGTCAGAAGGCCACAAAAGGAAATCACATGACCCTGGGACACAGCAACCATCATAAATATGAGTCTGTTACCAAATGTCTGAATTTTAATTACATGACCATGGGGATGCTGTAACAGTCATAAGTGTGAAAAATGATCATGTCACTTTTCCCAGTGCCGCTGTAACTTCAAATGGTCACTAAATGAACTGTTGTAAGTTGAGGACTACCTGTATTTGGATTAGGATGAAGAGGCCCTACTTTGAATTGGAAACTTAACGATCCGTGCATGCAATTAGTTAATGAGAGCATTCCTGAGAATGTTGCCTCACAGTTCCATTATCTATTTTGAATAAGTTAACTATATACAATAGAAAGAGACGACAGAGAATGAGGTGGCTGGATGGAGTCACTGAAGCAGGAGGCGTGAGCTTAAATGGACTCCAGAAGATGGTAGAGGACAGGAAGGCCTGGAGGAACGTTGTCCATGGGGTTGCGATGGGTAGGACACGACTTCGCAACTAACAACAACAACATACAATAGCTGCAAAACATGCAGATGCCATTAATAGAGCAGCAGCAACTCTGGCAGACGACAGAACGGCTGAGAGAGCGGCCTGCCCAAATGCAACCCTTTCCCCCGCCCCCAAAGACATCCCATAGCGCACAGCCGCGGGAGCGCAAAAACTGCTTTGGCACTCGCGGTCCCTTTAAGAGAGAGGAGGCGGCCGGAAGTCCTGGCAGCCGAGCCGCAGCAGCTCCTGCGCATGCTCCCTCCCTCCTCCCGCCCCCCCCAGCCCCGGACTCGGCCGCTCGGAGACGGTAACGGGGGGGAGGGAACGCAGGGCGACGTTCTTGCTGCCGCTGCGCTACGGGAGCCGGGACGCAGAGTGCGTGGCGACGAGGGAGGGGGTTGCGTTGGGAGAGCGCACGGCCGCTACCCCGCTGTACGTGCCGCCGCCGGGAGAGCGGACGTCGCAGCGCCGCTGCGGGGGGGGCATAGTGGAGGGTGGGGAAAGGAGGAGGAGGAGGAGGCTGCGCCTGGCCTGAAGCAAGGGAAGAGGGGCGGGGCCACGGAGGGCTGAGGGGCTCGCGGGGCAGGCGAGGGGGCGGGGCCCGCGGGGGGAGGCGGGCTTTCCCCACTGCCGCGCGGGCGCGGTCGAACTCGCCCTGAGCGACCAGTGTGGAGAGCCCTTCCCGGGCCGCCCGCGTGGGGTTGTTTCTCCTTAGCCTCGCGCTACCACCGCCTCCTCTCGTCATCCCCAGTGGCTGGGCGAGCTGGGGATGATGGCAGTTGGAGTTTTCGGGCGTGAGGTCGGGCCAGGCGCAAAAAAAAAAAAAGAAACGCGCGGACCGCTTTGCTCTGCCCCGCCGGGTCTACCCTGGAACCGCCGGGCGGGTGGGGGAAGGGAGAGTGGAGCGAGTTTCGCCGCCTTTGATGCTCGAGGTTCTGAGGGAAGAACCGCAGACGGCTTGCAATTCGCGGTTTCCCGAGCAGAGAGACTTCTCGGTCCGAAGCCCCGACTTCCTCTTGAGGCGGCCGGATTGAGGGGTTCCTCCCCTGGCCGAACTAAAAGCCCGTCCCCATTCAATGACAAAATCGTCCGGGGTTAATCAAGCTGTCTAAACTGAGTCAAAACTCAAAAGAGAAGCCCGCCACCGGTTTTATGTAGATCCATAACAGAAATTAAAACTGAACAAAACTAGGATTACTGTATGTTAACAGCCTGGTATCTCTGGGCTGCATTCCAATTTTAATACATTATTAGAGCAGGAGCCAGGTTCGGTGAAATCTGATTTATGGTACAGAATATCCATTACACCATGTTAGATAACAGACTCTGGTGGTTGGAGTGGATGTAGGATAAATAAATTTAAACGACCTGTTGGAATAGCCAAGATCAAAGTGTGGCGTACCAAGAATTGGTATTCTTTGTAAATGACAAATTATGACAAGGCTGCCTTGATTTCTGTACAATAAAAATAAATACATTGCAATAAAAAACAATTGCATTCCATGCCCCTCTCTTTTTTATGGCAATGCTAATGTAGCACAATGATGGCTTTGGGACTGCATTTCTAGAAAACAATGCTTTTCCAAATTAAAAAAAAAAAAATCACAGCTGAAATGCTCCTTAAATGTCCCTCTTCTATCACCCATGACTATCTATTCAGTGTTAAGGGGTTGGGGTTTTTTTTGGCTTTTTAAAATAAGGACAAAATTGATGACCTAGCACCATTATTGGAAGGATACCATTGTTGATTGGACAACTCTGTTTCATATGAAGAAAACTGCTAAACTTTATTTATTTACAAAAAATAAATAAAGATGCAAATAGTGTTCTTGCTTGCTCCAACTTTTGTTTTCCCATAACAATAAGCAGCTAAGACATTCTGAGCCTTCTTATTATAGCCTGCCAATATTTATGGCATTACGTCCATTAATCTAAAATAATGCGTGTGATTTGACTAAGCATAAACAGTACTGAATTAGGAAAGCTATGATACTGTTTCTGCTTTTGTAGAAGTAAATGCCATTAACATCCAGGAGAATTTATCTGAGGCAAATACATAGCATTGGCTCTATAAAATAGCTCTAGCTGATAACCATTGAACTGATGAGCAGTCTCTCGTTCAATTTATCCTGAATTCAGACATATCTTTAAAGAACTATTTTCCAACATGGGTCAGAGATTAATCTCCAATTGAGTCATTTCAATCTTGCCTTTAAGAGACACAATAAAATTCATTTTCACATACTGAATAATTTTTAAAATTCATTGTTATTATTTAATAGAATGACAACTAATAGGGGTTTAAAACAATTCTAGGAAGATTATTAGAAAAGTCATTAGAGTTATATCTAACCTTCAGATTCAATACTACCACAGTATTTCTCTGGGTATCCTCTGATGCAAAATGAGAGGAGGAAGTGGCATTACGTTTGTCTACTCGTAATTAGTTTTCTACAACCAGCAGGAGGGGCTGGTTGGTAGTGTGAAGTTGAATTTGTTGGACTGATCATCTGATCCAGCAGTAACAATGGCCTGTGATTTTGAATCTGAAAACAAGGAAACCACACACTTTCACTTATGAAATGGGGTTGTGTGTTAAAGTTCTTATTTCCAAAGAATCATGTGTATGACTAGTCTTACTGGAAATTCCATAAATCCTTGCTTCCCCAGCTAATCTCCTGATTTGGGAGCAACCAATAGTCAAAATTGCATTTGGGGGTCCTTTTGGAGTGGGTTTGGTTCTGGTATTGTTCTGCTGGCAAAGAAACAAAGAGAAAGCGAAAGCAACTCCCACAGTCCTGAATCACTTAAAAGCAGCAAATGCCTCCCACCAAGATCCAAGTCACCATTACATATTTTTCAAGCCCTCTATAGATACCACATCAATCATTGGAAAGAGGCTTTCCAGCTTTCTCTGCATGTTGAGTGATACTGTTCAGTGCTTCAGTCTAATTGCTTGTTTTTTTTAAAAAAAGCAAATCAGCTAGGTACTACTGTAGGTACAGTCTAAGCCAATTGTATATGGGATTGTAGCCTTCACTTTCTAATGAAAATATCCTCTTTTGTTTTCTGATGGCTCATGCTTCTGCTGTAGCAGGTATAGCCCAGAATAGAGAAAAAAAAGGGAATGCCTGTGCATCTTTAATTGCTGTCACAATAACCTCTTAAACCTTGCAAAAAAGCTAACAAGGCCAAGCCACTTTTGAGTTCCCAAGGCTATACTGGTATATAGGTTGGTCAATTATTCTGAGAGCAATTGTAGATTATGAGAAGTTAAGACAATTAAGAGAAGCCCCAGAGGTGTTGAGGATGTTTCTATCATGTATGTGGTCCCTTTTGTCCTACTATTATAGAATATGATAATTGTGTGCAATTAGAGATCACAGTTCTGCTCAACTCCCAAATCAAGGTTGCTTCGGTTGTTTATTGTCCACTACAGCATACTTGTCACCCAGTCGCTCAGACTTCATGTGAACAAATGGCAAATGCTGAAGTAAGCATTCCTGTAGGAGATGTGGTTGTTGTGCCAACTGAAGGAACAGAGGGGGGAAACCCAGAAGATACTAAAACCCAAGTTATATTACAACTACAGCCAGTGCAACAAGGGTGAGTGACATGCCAAGAGCAACACAAAATATTCCCAAGTAATTTTGCCCAAATTGAGGGTTTAGAGGACTATTGCAAGGAGAATTGAGAATGCAGGCATGAAAGAAGATTAAACCCTTATGATTTACCAATTGTGCAGAAGATGGAATTTTAACAAGAGTTTGAGGTACTGGGAAATTTTAGATATTCTAAAAATATGAAGGAACTCCATTGTTCATTTTATGGTTGGATAGAGGAGAAAATCGTAAAGTTAAGGACAATTTGATCAACCTGCAACTGGTGTAGCATTCCTAATAAAGAAGAGGTCAGCCCTCCCAAGCAAGTTGTATCAAAACAAGTTCTACTGTTTAATAACAATTTCCTTTCTTGTATGTAGACTTGAGTCCTTTCAGCTACAGCAACAGAACTTGATTATCATGACATTAACTTTCCTTTGAGATAAAAAGTACAGTAGCCCTTATGAAACTGGTGAAAAAAATACTGCTATGGATATTACTTTTTATACAAATGTTTATATAATCCAAAATAAAATATTATGGAGGGAAACTTACATAATATTAATAAGTCAAATATATCAAACTAACATTGATAGGTCTAACAGCAGGTTATTGCCGAATAAACCGATGGCAGAATAACCAAATGCTGAACTATTAAAATTAAGATTTTGGGTTGCTGTTGAAAAGTGCCAAATTCCCATTAATATGGAACAATTTATGGAAAATTCCATAAATATGATCTCTTCTGATGCTAGGGGCACACAGGTTGATGTGGAGGGAAGATGTTCTTTCATGTCACTTGTTTTCAAATAATTGTATCATTTGTGTACTTATTGCCACACTTACAGCAGGATTTATCAAGAGACCTCTGAAACTAATGCGGCTGTGATGGCTGTAGAAACGCATACCATACACAAACTTGAAGATGGCATCGGTGAGTTCTCAGTGATAATGATGCATCAGTTTCATGTTAGCTCAATTGTATTGCAGTGTAATAGGGGTGCTTTGGGTAAAGCCTGCAGGCTGTGTGTGCAGTGGTTAATGTGCTGAAGCAGGACCAGGAAGACATGATGAACTTGGATGCACTGAATAGCTTTAATATAGTCACTGCCTCTCAGTCCATTGTACATCCCTGGGTTAATATTGAGAGGACAACATTGAAGAAGAAATACTATGTCCATCTTTCCTCCAAAGCAAAACTTTGCTCAGCAAATGGGCTGATCCTGAAGCATAACAGTTTCTGCAATAGTTACTTGCATGGATGATGGCTTTTTCCCCACTTCATATAATTAAGGGAAACACTAACCTTTCTTCATATTTTCATAAGGTGGAATAAAGCCTGTAGCACTGAAAAAAGCCAGATCCTTGGAAAAAAGATTCTTGAACTAAGAGGCTATGGGAGCTTTCTTTCACCATCTCTTCCTGTGAAAGTGTTGTCTAAAGGTTCACATTTCTGAAACTCAACTACAGACACAAGGCAGTTCTTGTCAGACTGCTGTTCAAATTTCATTTCCTATCTTCATCACTTCAGAATAGCTGGAAATTTGCATATTATATTGGATAGTCAAGAGTGTGAGATTGTGGGGCTAGTATCCCAAAGAACTACGTTTTCCAAAACACGCAATTCAAACATGATTTTCTAGGTACTTTGCACTTACACTGTAGTTTAATTTTGGCTTGGTGTACAGTGTGAGTCTAGCCACTAAGATTTATGTACCATGATTTCTGGCTGGGTTGTGATTTGTATATCATGATTTATGGCTGAGTTCAACAAATCAGACCATGTATTAGTACAGTAAGATTGAACTCAGTCCGTAAGAAACCCTGCCTTGTTAATAGCAACAAGGACAACAATGAATCATATTCCTTTTATACTTGGAACTCTTCTGGCTATTATGAAACTATACTCTGATGCTTGTTTAAATACATATACAGTACGATATTTATGGTTCCATCGTAGGTTGTAAAGATGAAAAAATTTACATAATTTTATCAGTGTCTAAGAAAGAAGTTGAGTGGTGTGGTGGCCTAGTGGTGAAGATGCTTGCCTCTCACTCAGGTTGAGAGTTCAATCCTAGGTAGCAGCAGATGTTTCTTTCCTAAGGAGCAAAGAAAAAAATATCTGCTGCACATTCTACGTGGTATCAGGAAGGGTATCCGGCTAGGAAATGCTCAGCTCCATCCAGTTGCCTTGATTCTACCACGAATTAAGGGATCAAAGGGTCATAAAAAGGGCGTATTTTTAAAGAAAGAAATAATGGCTTACTATGTGATTTTCATGCAAGAAATCTCTAGTTCAGACTTAGGATCTCCAGGTTAAAAGATACAGGATGAGAACATTGTTTGAGTCCTTTCCAGTCTTTCGGTTAGATCAGAGGTGTCCAACTTTGGTAACTTTTAAGACCTGTGGACTTCAACCCAGAATTGGGTGGGCTGGGGACTTCTGGGAGTTGAAGTCCACAAGTCTTAAAGATGCCAAGGCTGAACACACCTGAGTTAGATGAATCAGCATGGAGATCTCTATATGTCTCTCAAACGTCTCCATTTCCATCTGCAGATGCCAGTGCCCTTGAAAGCAATGAGGAAATTGAGATTGCCTACCCCATTACCTGTGGAGATAGCAAGGCCATGTTGCTCTGGAAAAAGTTCGTGTGTCCAGGAATCAATGTCAAATGTGTTAAGGTAAATAGCATGGTGAAAGTGAATTTGCCAGCTCATTTTCTTTCTTTTTGTTCCGTGTTGCTGGGTTTATGACAGGAGTATTCTTTTCCTTTGGAAAAATGTCCCACTTTCCACTGGATGTGCACAGGAGTATTTGGTACACATAAAACTCTTAGCAATAAACTATTTAGGTGGCAGTATTGAAAGTAATGCCTTTATTTCATTCTCGCAAGGAGAAGACACTTCCCCCTGACTTGGACACTACTGTAGGAAGAACATTGAGTTATATCTGCCATAATATATGTTTGAGAATCCCATTCTACAATATATAATTGGATGGCCAAAATTTTCCCACTTATCCACTCAATGTTATCCTCAAATAGTTCTACAAATTGCCCAGTATCAGCCTGAAATCACAAAGCCCAGGTTGTATTAACAAAGCCCTAGTGTGTCTTGATCACATGTATCCATGAATAATGGGTGTTGCGTTGAAGACTGAATGGTTGGATTATATCCTTACCATGAGAAAATAAATGGTTCCTTCCTCTTTTGATAGTTCAATGACCAGCTTATCAGTCCCAAGCACTTTGTTCACCTGGCTGGCAAGTCCACCCTGAAGGACTGGAAGCGAGCCATCCGCCTAGGAGGAATCATGTTGAGGTAACCGTCTTGTCATGTACAGGTAGCCCTCAACCTATGACCACAATTAAGCCCAAAACCTCTGTTGCTAAGCAAGACAGTTAAGTGAGTTTTGCCTCATTTTACGACCTTTCTTGCTACAATTGTTAAGTGAATTAAGTTAGTAACACAGTTGCTAAGTGAATCTGGCGTCCCCATTGACTTTGTTGTCAGGTCACAAAAGATGATCATATGACCCCGGGACACTGCAACCATCACAAATATGAACCAGTTGGCAAGTGTCAGAATTTTGATCATGTGACCATGGGGATGCTGCAATGTTATAAGTGTGAAAACAGCCGTAAGTCACTTTTTCCAGTGCTGTTGCAACTTTGATCAGTCATTAAATGAATGGTTGTAAATCAAGGACTACCTGTACCAAACTCTGGTGCAGATGCCTGGGCAGGAGTCTTCCTCTCTCCTTAAAACTGTGGTGCCGGTCATTTCCTGCCAAACAAAAATGGTGCAGAGAGTTTGATCCTATGTACTTTAGAATATGGAACTTTCCTAGGAAAAGTCCCAGTGATTTCAAGGGCCATTTTATATAGAATGTTAGGTGGGGGTTTATGGAATAAGACTTTGATCTACAGGTTTTACAATCATAACTCAGCCTGGAAATAGGTTGTGTCATACTGTTTGTTCAGTGGGTCATCACGTGAACAACTTGATTTTACCACATTTTTCGCGGTGGTCATTAAATGAATCACCATGATCACTAAATGAACACCATAGGCATGAAGTGACCGGTTGTACACAATGGGCGTTTTTTGCCGGAAACCAGAAGTAAATGCCAGCTTCTGTCAAAAAATGTTACAAGTCGCAGTCATGCGATTGCGGGACATTGCAAATAGCAGTAAATGTGGCCAGTTGCTGAGCACCCAAAATACAATTGCATGATCAAGGGGCATCTTTTAGAATTTCAAATCTGGGTTGTAAAGTATCTTTCTTGGGGTCTGTCAGAACTTTGGATGGTTAATAAGCGACTGGTTATAGGGGGATGGTGTTATTCATGGTTTCCTTAACTGCAGTTTCAAGTGCCTAAGGCTGGTAATACAAATTGGAGATCATCATTAATGATGCAAGTGGCTCTATTTGGGAGAGAAATTTGGAGAATTTTTGTGGGTGTATAATATGCACAAAATGATGGAGGTGTTTTGCCCAATTATAAAGTATTCTTGTAAGGCTCTCATTATCCATGATTTTATTATCCACAGTCTTTGGGCTCGAACAGCATCCAATGAATAGTGAGGGCCACTATGAAGGATTCACTAAATAGTAGTTGTTATTCCTTTCCATATTGCTGAATAAATTTGGATGGAAAGAGAAATTTCTTACCATACAGAACCATACAGAACCATACCCTTCTGTTGAATTATATGACTGCAGTTATGCATAAGCTAAAGGGGACTGAGCATTATTTGATGCACAACAGTCAAAGGCTTCATCTTTTTACATTTTTCTCTTAGACAGTTCTTTGAACAGATTTTCACCCCGAGATAACTGTTTTGTTTTCCGTTCATTGTGCAGAAAGATGATGGACTCTGGACAAATTGACTTCTATCAGCATGACAAAGTGTGCACCAACACATGCCGAAGCACCAAGTTTGACCTCCTCTTCAGCAGTGCCAGGGCCCCAGTACCAGGGCAACCAAGCCTGGTACAGACTCCCACTTCTGCTGATGGTAGGAAAAAAGTAAAGTAAATTCCTGATTAGTATATTCCTTGGTCATTAAGACTCACCCTTATCTTGTCATTCATCCACCCCTCCCTCTCTCTCTCTCCCTCCCTCCCTCCCTCCCTCCCTCCTCTCACATATTAGAATTCTGCCTTGATTAGATTAAGTGTAAGTTGAAATAGAGTGGGGCTTGGACAGGTTTTCAAATTCTGTTACAATACCCTAACTGCATTTAGGTACTTTCCAACATTTCTAGGAACTTCTGTTTCTTGCCTTTGTCTATCTTAAAGGGCTGACAACATGCCTGAATTGTGTGAAATATTTATCGTGGTTTAATCTTGTGCACACTGGGCTATATCCAAAGGGCTTTGAGACAGAAGAGCATCATGCCCAATGTTGGAGGACATATTATCTTACTTCCTACTCCACGTTTTTCTTTTTGTGATAGAGGTTTTTTTTTTAGTTCAGCTACTTCAGTTAATTAGAGCATAACAAGTTTAATGTATAAGGCGAAGCATTTCACACATTTTACACAATTCAGATGTGGCTTTGAACATTAAAAATTTGTATAAAGGTGGGACTTTCAACCTCGGCCACTTTAAGAAGTGTGGACTTGAAACTCTCAGAATTCCCCAGCCAGTACACCCAAACATTTCTTCATTCGTTGCAGCATCTACAGAGCTTACATAACATTTCAAAAGCAATGGCTTTATTGTGTCAGTCCTCAGGATACATTGATCAGCCCAAAGCATAACCTGCCCAATGTGGCATCTTCAGAGAGCAACTCTCAAACTGTCCAGCCAGCACTAAGACCATATTGGTTGAGAATCTGAGGAACTGCCATCTCCAGATAGAGTCAAATGGACAAGGCTGGGGTGGAATTACTGAATTCACACAGTGTTAAGACCTAATGTGCTTTGTTTGCTTTGAGCTGTATTTTGTAGGTCCCAGCCATTGTAATTTGGAAATTATGGTGTATGGCTTAACATAGGGTGTGAACCCTATCATCATGTCATATCAAGTCATAGATTTACAGATGAATAGTTGGCTTAACAGAACTTATCCTGATGTATCATCTAGGTGTGTGGGTGGGTAAGGAGTTAGTGTGGCAGCAGAGTATCAGACTGGTCTTCTCTTGTGCAGGAAGCATCACACAAATTGCAGTATCTGAGGAAAGTGTAGAAGAAGGGATTGAATGGAATTCTGCTATGACAGCAGCGGTCACTATGGCAACCGATGAGGGAATCAAGAAAGATCCAGAGGAGATTTCAGGTTGGTCCTTCCTGTTTCTCTGTACAGCTTGCATACTTTTTTTGTTTCCTCTATACACTTCGGAAAGGAAAGGAAGTAGAGCAAGAGAAGCAAACTTTTGTCAGTGATAGTTGGGATTACTCGGCATTGCATCCTCAATCTTTTTGTAGGGGAAAGCTGCTCCTAAACTTGACTCGTGAGCAGTGGCATGCACCTTCCTTGAACGATCCTTTGATTGTACCAAAAGACCAAAGGCTTCTAGTGTTTTATTTAACATGCCCTGAAAACTATTTTCAGCTGTTGCAATTGTTTGTGAACATACATGGGCTACAAGCATAATTTGTAAGTGGCCAATGAACAGTCTACATCAGAGTTCTCAACAATGACTACATGAAGATTATTGACTTCAACTCTCAGAACTCTGGCTGGGGAATTCTGAGGGTTGAAGTACACACATCTTCAATTAGCCAAGGTTGAAAAACACTGGTTTACGTATGTGCTGAGTTGGCATTTTTTAATTCAGTGATTCTTCCAGGTAAGAGTGTGTAGTTTGGATTGACAAGTTCCTTAAGGTGCTTGATAGTGTATAGTAGTTTGCTGATCCCAGTAGTAGACATTTTGCTGTATAATTGTAATTGCCAGTTCTTTCTTTAAAAATGTTTATCTTTCCTTGGCAGAGGACATGCTGATGTTCTGGAAAGGCATCGCGGATGTGGGCTTAATGGAAGAAGTGGTGTGTAATATTCAGAAGGAGATAGAGGAGGTGCTAAGAGGGGTGCAGCAAAGGCTTGCCCAGTCCCCTTTCCAGATTACCGGTGGGTAAGAGGTCAGCAGTCTCCATGTTGATATGAAATGATGACCACTAGGGCAGACTTCCTGCCTTACAGGTATTCCTCGACTTACAACAGTTCATTTAGTGACTGTTCAAAGTTACATCATTGAAAAAAGTGACTTATGACTGTTTTTCACACTTACAATCATTGCAGCATCCCCATGGTCACGTGATCAGAATTTGTATGCTTGCAACTGGATCATATTTATGACGTTTGCCATGTTCAGGGGTCACGTGATCCCCTTTTGCAACCTTCTGACAAACAATGTCAATGGGGAAGCCACATTTACATAACAACCGAGTTACTAACTTAACAATTGCAGTGAATCACTTAACAGCTGTGGCGAGAATGATTGTAAAATGGGGCAAAATTCACTTAAAAGCTTTCTGTTAACAGCAACAGAAATTTTAGGCTCAATTGTGGTCGTATATCGAGGAGTACTTGTATTTATGCTTTGTGAATTATATGACTCGATAGTGCTTGTTTTGCCATTTTATCAACTACTTTCCAATGATAATTTTCTTATGAGTAGCTATTTTGAAATGCAATGCAATGCTAAAAAATCAAAAATAGGAAAATGCCAAAACCCACTAAAATCCATCAAAGTTGTAAATCATCTTTTTCCAGAATGCATTCATTGTTTAAATGTTTATCATAGCTCCCATAGTTTCCAGTCACCTTGAGGAAAGGTCTGTTGCTTCAGGGGTGAATAAGCTAGAAGTATTGGAAAAAGAAACTTGTATAAAGCATACCAATAAAGAAAAATATTTGTAGCTCAGGGTTGACATGAGGGTTTCTTGGTGCTCTCTGAGCTTGCTTGTTTTCTTGCAGACATTTCATTACCTAAACTAGGTAATATCTTCAGTGCTAGGGTAGTTTGGGTAATGAAACGTCTGCAAAAAAACAAGCAAGCTCAGAGAGCACCAAGGACCCCTCATAAAGCATACTAGAATGGCTAGGTAACAATGTTGTTAATAATAATAATAACAACAACAACACAAAAATGCCAAACCTGGTCTGAACATCTGACTGTGTGATGATTAATAATAATAACAACAATAATAATGCAAAAGCTTTACTGGGAACAGATTCCATCCTGCGACGATATCTGTAACATGATCAAACATCGAGATCTGTCTGTCCCAAGTCCTTGGTAAAGACTTGATAGGTAGACAAAAATGCTAAATTCAGTTTGAATATCTGGCTGACTGTGCAATGATCAATAACAATAACAATAACAATAGAAATAATAACAGAAGGAGGTGGAAGAGGGTCTGCCTGATGCTGGAAATATATCAATAGTGATGCCAGGAGGGTCTATCCCTAGGTTACAGGGGAAAAAAACATACTTCAGGACATTGTATATGTGTTATTTTCTGCAAAATTTCTCATTGCAATTTACATAATAATACATTTGGCACTTGTTGACTATACAATTTCTGATGTAGTCTCACCTGCACTGTTATTTGCAGACTAAATTGGGTAGAAGGGCACGAACAGCTCCTGCTTTGGAATTCTTGAGCAAGTAGGTTGCTAAAAATTCAGGGAGATAGTATTATAAGTATTTTCTTTATCTTTTTCAATTTTTAAATACTCTCTTCTTAGTGTCAGTGTTTATGGCTGTTGTAGGTGCATCTTGCATAATCAAGACAGGAAGTGCTACCAAAGTGTTAAGTAATCCTGCATGGGAAAAAAAAGGAATAGCTAGGTCTTTCTGCTTGGGAGTTGGATCCCATTTAGAATATTAGTCAATATCTGTGAATGTCTTCCTGTAGATGCTGCTGTTTTAAATAATGTTGCTCATACTTTTGGTCTGATGGACACAGTGAAAAGAGTGCTGGATAACAGGAAGAGTCAAACAGATCAGGGAGAGGAGCAATTTCTTAACACTCTTGCAGGTAATTTCAAAATTTGAACTTTCTTAGCTCATCAATTAATTGTGCAAGAAATATTCCTTGATTGCCTGGTTGCTATAGTACACTCATATTCTCTCAAATTTGCCTTTTTGATGTGGAGGCTAAACTATACATTGTACATTCTCCTCCTCCTCCTCCTCCTCTTCCTCCTCCTCCCCCATTTTCCTTATGTTAAATACAACAAATTCTTTACAATTACCAAAAGTATATTAATCACATTGAACATACATTTATGTCTATGGAGATTCTCAATCATCCAGGTGATGGTTGTCCTAAAGCTGCTTTTCCAAAAGGCAAATGAACTTTCTTGTTTTTTTTTTTTTCTTGAAAATGTTTTGCTTCAAGAAGAACTCATCAGTTCTGAAGAAGCTTCCTGGATAAGAAGCAAAATGTTTTCAAGGAAAAAGCCAAGAAAGTCTACTTGCCTTTTGGAAAAGCAGCTTTGGGACAATACACATTTATCTTTTCCCAAGAGGCACTAGCTATATTCTGGCCAGTATTTTTGCTGTAATATTTTTGGTAGTTTTAGTATACGTTGGAGGTTTGAAAACCTGTATATGATGTTGTTTTAATTTTAAAGCTACTGTTGTCTGCAGCTCTGAGGTGGAGTTAAGCAATACTTGGAGAAGTAGTTTCTCCTCTCCATCCCAGTTTTTTTGTTCACGAAATAATTGGTGTTATCCTCATGAGACAGACATTCCTGTCCATTGTTCTGTTCTTTTGGCACAGAAATGACCAAATATTATACCTAGAAATTATTTTCCTATCTCCATTTGTCTTTTGTGCTGCTTGTCTGACAATTTCCAAAGCATTTCCTTGATTAGACTATGCCATTAATACTTCTTACAGCACTAGATCGCCAACTAGAAGAGCAGAAGAAGCTTGCCAGGAACCCATCCATTCAGAATGTGGTCCTGATGCCAGTCAACTCTCCAAAGCCTCCCAAAAGGCCCCGGTTGAAACGTCCAGCTTCAGCCACAGTTCTAAGCCCGTCGGCTCCCATTCAGCAACCTCAATTCACCGTCATCTCACCTATCACCATTGCACCCATGGGACAACAGTTTTCTGTTAGCAACATTCCAATGGCCACGATCAGCCAGGGCTCCAGCCCAGTGACTGTCCACACATTGCCCTCAGGTTCCCAGCTTTTCCGCTATGCCACGGTGGTCTCTTCCTCCAAAACCAGCTCATCCGATACAGTGACACTTCACCCCTCCTCAAGCTTAGCCCTGCTGAGCTCGGCAGCGATGCAGGACAGTGGGACTCTTGCTAACGTGGCCACTGTGATGAATCCTGTGGAACTGGTGGCCATGGAGTCTGGCCTGACTTCTAGTATTCAGGCTATTGAAGGCACTTCAGAGGATGGACAGACAATCATAGAAATAGACCCAGCACCTGATCCAGAAGCTGATCCTGAAGAATCATCGGGGAAAGCTGTGATTTTGGGGACAGAGTTGAGGACTGAGGAGAAGGTGGTGGCTGAGGTTGATGAACATCAGCATCAGGTCCATAATGTAGAGATTGTAGTCTTGGAGGACTAGTCAGCAAGCCATCCTGCCATGCTAAATGATTGTTCACCTCTTACCTTTTTGTTTGATCCCCCTTTTCAGGTAAGTTCACACAAATGCTGATGATCATTTTTAAGCAGTCATTTTCTTCAGGGGGAAAGAGCAGGCAGGCTGTGCTTTCCAGTATGGATGATGGTTTGTGGGAATAGGGAGAGTCAGAATTTTACCTGCCTAGTGAAAGGGGAAACAAGCCATTGCTGTTATCACTCGGTGAGGAGGGATGGCAGTCTGTAAACCCAGATTTGAAGTGACCTTTCTTGGATTGTTTGTCTCAGAAACAAAGTGGAAATAATTACTGGATTAGAATGACCTTAAAGCAAGAGCTTCTGTCTGGATCTTTAGCTATTCTTCACCCTAGGAAGGGAGATCCCATGTCAGTTTCTGACTTTCCAAGCATTTTGCATTTTGGAAGTGGGGGAAAAACAAAGCACCTGATTTGATTGATCAGGTCACCAACCGTCTTTGGAATGTATTATTGTTGTTTTGTGTGTTTTTTTTTTTTTTTAAAAAAAAAAACATTTTCCTTAAGCTGTTTGCCCATTTGTGGCTTCAAAAATTGGAATTCTTGGCTCTTCCTTTTTGTATTTTCTCCAGCAGTTTTTCTTTTCCCTTGGTTGTTACAAGATTTCTAGGAATTGCTTATGCTTTATGCACATGAAGGCAGATACAGGGAGAAACTAGGAACAGATATGGCAGACATAGCGCCCAATGACCACCTGCTCTCTCAAATACAGAATTGACAATCTGGATGTTCAAGTATGAGTTGTCTGTATACATAGTGGGAGAATTGGGCTCAACCAACAGGGCATGCCTGCAATTTACTCAGCACTCTGGGAAACCATACCATGCTGGCTTAGGTGTGCATGCGTCTCTGTGTGTGTATGTTTGATGTTCATAATTTTTTGAAAAAAATGATTACAGGAGTCTGGATGGCACATCACTTCAGCAATGTGGCTGTCTGGTCTCCCTTTCTGTTGGGCTGGATATGAGTGAGTTGTTTGAGTATCTTCCGTATGGGAAGAGTAAGGAGTGAAAAAAGGATTCCCTTCCTCGCCTTCCTCCTGGCCATAACACAGTGCTTATGGTCTCCCTCTCCATATATTAAGAAGTTAAAATTCAGAGTTGGAAGACTTGAAGAGTAAACCAGTTCAACTGTTTTAAAACAGCAGTTGTTTTTTTTTTAAGAAAAAATCCCTACAGGAGTTGGGTATGCCATTTATTTTGTTTGGGTTTTCTTTGCATTAAAAGATAAGCAAAACAAAAGCCTAAGAGGACTCTTCATTATGTTGACATGGTCTCCATTCACTTCTGTTTCCTCACAGAAGGACTTTAGTAGCCTGATAGAGCTGGAAGGGCCAAAGGTTACCAAAAGGGCTGCTCAGAATTCAAGGAAGGGGTAAATATGATGAGAACACATGGGACTGAGCATTAAAGGGAAGGGCCTGAAACCACAAAAAATTCCCTGCTGCTCAGAATGAACAGTCTTGCAAAAAGAAGTCTGCCTGGCCACACCCATCAGCAATTATAGCGGCTATGCCACCATTCTCTCCACAGAAAAGAAATCAGCAGGGCTGGACCCCTGCTCTAAAGAAGGACTGTATCCTGGCAGTGTGATCACAGGTAGTCCTTGACTTATGATCATTTGTTTAGTGACTGTTGGAAGTTACAACAGCACTGAAAAAAGTGATTTATGACCAGTTTTCATACTTACGACCACTGTAGCATCCCCAGGGTCATGTGATCACCATTTGTAACCTGCCCAGCTGGCTTCTGGCAAGCAAAGTCAGTGGGGGAACAACCTCATTATTCACTTAACAACTGCAGTGGAACACTTAACCACTGTGGCAAAAAGGTCATAAAATGGAACGCAACTTACTTAACAACTGTCTTGCTTAGCAATAGAAATTTTGAACTCAATTGTGGTTGTACATTGGGGACTACCTGCACACGTATTCTTTGGGTCATTAAAATCAGTCAACAGTCAGTGGAAGATAATTAGACTAACTATTTTTTAAAGAACGTTAATGCCATAGTAAAGAGAACCAGCAAAGTCAGCCTATTTTTGATCATGTCAAAGTGAAATCATTTTCTTCAGTTTCTTTGGAAAACTGAGGTCACATATACACAAGAAAACCAAAAGGGAACTCCCACCAGATGTTGAAATGGAGTCTCTTGACAAGAGGATGGTCACTGGCTGGTCCACAGGAGTGTTTGTTCCTGGCTGGGGAATTCTGGGAGTTGAGGTCCACATGTCTTAAAGTTCCAACATTGAAAAATACTGTTCTATACCACCTCTGTTCGCTTTCTTGTGAGAAGTGGATGGTGCCCCTTTCGCACCTGAAGCTAAAGAAAGTAGTACAGCCTACTGCAGCTTCAGTCTTCTCCATCAAAAGCAAAAAAGAAAAAAATAGATGATAGGTTGAGTGGGAGAAGGATCTTCAATGCATAGTGCTGAGGCTCAATTTGGTCTCTTTTTACTTTAGTACAAGGCATGAACTCTAACAAACGTGGGTTATTTAACAAAGCATGATTAAAATATGGTTAAGCACAGCATATGGATCTCATCAGTCTCCTTATGAAGATGAAAAATGGCAGAAATTTACGTACCATCCTTGAAAACCTAGGACTTTTCATTTGTCCAAAGCTGGTTCATAATTCTTCTTTAGTTAACACAGTTAATAAAAGTGTCTAATCTCAGCTGTAAACCCAACAGCCCATTTCAGTTCAAAGAAAAGGTCACTAAACCAGTGGTTCTCAACCTGTGGGTCGGGATCCCATTTGGGGTCGAACGACCATTTCACGGGGGTCGCCAAACAACGCAGTCTGCCATTTTTTTCCCCTTTTCCTTAGCTGTGCTACTCCCTTTTATTCTATTGGCTTTTGAAAGCCAATAGAATAGACTCTCTGGAATAGAGTCTAATTCTATTGGCTTTCAAAAGCCAATAGGAATTGTCCAGGCTGTCTCTGCCCTGCTGAGCCCACCAAAAGTCCCATTCTGCAAACGGTGCTGCAAGTTATCTGCAGTGAAGGTGAGCTGTCTGGAAGCTTCCACTCCTCCCTGCTGAGCAACTACTAAAAATGTAAGTAAAAGAGGGCCAGGGGTGGGAGGTGGGAGGCCGGCGGGCGCAGGGAGGGTTGCTGGTACACGTGGGGCCCAGCGGGTGCCTTACCTCCCTTGGGTTGGGCCAGCTGGTGGCCCAGCCGGTGGTCGGCCTGCGCCGTCTCTGCCGCTTGCCAGCTATGCCTCGGCCGGCGCAGGGGGCGGCACCACGCATGTGTGGCGCTCCCGGGCAGGTAAAGTCCTCGACTTAACGACTGGTTGGAGCTCGCGGCATTAAAAAGGTTGAGAACCACTGCACTAAACATGCCCTTTTTCTCAACAAAGTTTTGTTTACTAAAAATGATTCATTTGTAATGACTCAAAACAATTCACAATATTTAAGTGTAACTTTTCAATACAGTGTTCATAGCACAGTACAACATATGAACTAACATGGTTTAATAAGTACTATGTGTTTATTTGACTCAATAAGTCCAGGTTTTCATGCACTAGCTTTATACTCAAGGGATCGTGCATCTAAAGTACATGATAAGAGGCAGTGTGATTTGTGATGAAGGTATGTAGGATCAGACACGCCAAGATTCAAGTCTGCCATCAATCACAAGCACATTGGATGACTTTAAGGGCTACCACTCTCAATCCAGTCTATCCCACAAGTGTCTTGTGGAGAAAATAGAAGGAAATAACAGAATAATTAAATTGGAAGGGACTTTGGAGGCCTTTTAGTCCAACCCCCCATTCAAGCAGGAGACCATAGAACATGTACCAATCCAACAATATTTTACAAATCACGGTGACTGGCATCCCAAAACATGACAAACCAAACCAAAACAAGCTCATTATGGCTTAGCATATTATGCATAACTAATCATCAGCCGACTTTGGCAGATATAGAGAGCCAGGCAAGCCAGTTTCTTCCTGGTTTAATCAGTTTCTTCCTGGTTTATCCATGGATCTGGGGTCACCCGAGAAATCCAAGACTGTATAGTAAGCTAGACGGTGAAGTCCACAAAAGAGGAAGGAGAAAACTGCAACTTACACTTTGAGCTTGCCACGAAAACTGTCCATAAACGTTAAACTCAACTCCGAGGCGAACGTTACTTTTCCCTGTCTTCCCTACTTGGGATCCTTCAGATAGGGGTGATTTGGAGACGCTAGCTTAGGAATTAAGGTTCACTTATGTAAGCCCAGCCGAAGAAACAGTCCTTATCGCTGCAATCAGTACTCCTGATCCCTCGCCCACACGAGATTCAAGTCAGAACGCGTGTCGATAGAAGCATGTACGCGTAAAAAGAGACGCTCGCATCGTTCACAACTTCTTTCTCCTGGGCATTTTCTTGCCTGCGTTTCCAAACTTCCCCAAAGGGGGGCGCTGCCAACACCCTTACAACACCCCACAAGCGCATCAGCCATTTTACCCGTCGTGCTTTTCTCCCACCAATGCTCTCCCTCTCTTCCCCCGCCCCCTTTTTTTTTCCTTTTTCCGCCATGCGCGCGCCTCGTCTCGCCTTTCGGCTGCGTGACCGTCTAGCCGAGCCGGCCTGCCTGCCTGCCTGCCGCGCCCGCCCATTCGCCCCCTCCCCTCTCTCCGCGCCTGAGTGCGCGCGCGCGCGAGCACCATAGAGCGCGAGCTGTGTGCAGCCCTTGAGCGGCTAGAGCGCCAACGCAGCGCGAGCAGAGTGGGCGGGGCTGCGGGCGGGGCGAACCAGTCAGAGTCCGCCAGGAAGCCGAGAGTGATCCGCGCGGTGTGTCTGCTGCTGCTGCTCCTCCTCCTCCTCCTTCTCCTTCCCCGGACAAAGCCGCCGCGGTTGCCGCCACCCCCGCCCCTCACCTCGCCGCGCAGCTCGCCTCGGAACCCCGCCGCTGAACGGAGAGCCATGTCGGCCAGCAGCCTCTTGGAGCAGGTAAGCCAAGGGAGGGAGGCCGGCAGTGGGAAAGAGCGGCGCCCCAGGCGTGAGGGGCGCCACGCTGGGAAAGGCCCCGGCTTCAGGCCTAGCCGGGGGGGGGGGAACGGCCAAACGGACGGAGAAGGGCTCGCGCCTCCACTTCCCTCGCGTCCCTCCCTTCGCAAACGAACCCCTGCCGGGCCCGGCCCTCCCTCGCTTCGTGCCGTCTCCCGCCGGCAGGTCGGAGCGGCCTAGGCTGAGGCTCGGCTTCTTCCTCCCCTCCCTTCTTTCCTGGCCGGACTTGTTGTTGCCGCCGCATGACTTATCGCTTCTTTCCCTCTTCCCCTTTCTTCCTGCCTCGCTCTGGCCAACGCCGCCGCGTCGTCTCCGCTCCAGAGACCGAAGGGACAAGGCAGCAAAGGTGAGGAGCCCGCAGTCGTGGCGGGGGGCTCCGGGCTGGCGGTTTCTGAGGGAGCCTCCGACTTTCAGCGTATGGCGGTGCCCCTTTTTTCTCCCATGTGCGGGCCTGGCTTCCTCGCTCTCTTTGGAAGGAAGGGAGGAGGGGGGGTACCTTAAGCAGCGAGATCCCCGCCAAGATGTGGGATCAGAAGCTTCCAATCTCTGCACTATCTGCAGATGTGCGTTCTGCTCGCGACTCTGAAAATGGCCAGCTTGGTTAGCCAGGATAGTTTAATGTCTGTAAAAGGCAAAGCAGTTGGTGAATAGGTCCTTTTTATCGGGCTGGGCTGGGTAAGGAGAGGACTGCCGGAGGATGTAGATTACTGTAAAAGTTGAGTCAGAATTAAAAGCTGCATGAAACATTCATAAAAGGGATTCAGTGGCTGATTCCGGTAGATGAATGTGTTCCCCTCTTTTGGCCATTCCTCTTTATTCTCTCCAGCTCGGCCACCCACCCATGTTGGCAGAAGGGTGATAAAATAAGGAATGGCTTGGTGTGAAGTGCATACAAAAAGGGAGGGCCTCTCTTCCAGGCAGACTTTTAAAAGTAAAAACTGGCTTTTGATTTAAAACTACTGGTTCTTAATCATTGCACCTAGGTAGCTGATCTGCAATAAACTAAAGGGGGGAAAGAATGGCCTGATTAGATATTAATAGATGAAAAAGTAAATATGAAGATGTAAAAGATAAGGTTAGTTAACTTTCCTTCCTTGTTTTAATGACCATGTGTAGCTTTAAATGTAGCCTTTGAAAGCTGAAGTGAGAGTAGTTTGCAAAGTCAGCTGCCTCAAGGGCCCAATTTATGGCTTCCACAAGCAAATTAAAACTTGAAAACCATGCAGGCTTTTTTTTTCCTGAAA